TCATGTCCGCACTGATAATTAGCTGCCTAATCTGAAAGAAGCCATTTTAATTGCCTTTGCTACTGCAAATTTAATTTGTAACTACTGACTATATTGACATTGATATAGCAGCATCTCTACTTTCTTTTTTATTCAGACTTTGTTAATGTCAACATGAGAGTGCTCCTACAAGAACTTCAAAGCTTATAATCACACTTAATTTGAATCGGTTATCAACCCCCTCGGGGGATGGCTTGATTTGATGGATCCCTGTGACACACGGCGCATACATAAATGTAGTTAGTTGTGGAAAAAACATTAGATGTGTTTGACTTTCCGTAATTACCACGGCTCCTTGGGGAGACATTTAAATGCTGATGATTATTTAGTTTGATTACTTATACTGTGTGTGCAAATGTACAGAGTGTATATGCGTCCGTGTCGTGGATCTCTGGTGCTTTATGAGCGTTTGTGACATTAATGTCTGCGTCTTGATGGAATGCATCTTTGTTCACATGCACATCTTTCACTTTTGGATCTAAATCAGTTAAAGTTGACAGTGATGCATGAAGACATTAAAACAGAATATCCAACTCAAACGGTCGATGCCTCCTTAGATGTCTGCAGAGTCTCCAGCAGTGAAAGAACCGAGCCAGTTAACTTGTGAAGTCTTCATTAGGAAAGCCCTCTGAAGTTGATCCCCTAAAGGCAAGAATCGAAAACCTTTCCTACAAGAAATGTCTACAACGGTCAAGGTTGGTGTAAGCTGAAGCCTGTTGAAGATCTGACTGTTTAGTGGGACTACAGAACAGATGAAAATTTAATGATCTTTGCTGTAGAAATTGGGTCAGCAAGATTTCTTTCATCAGACGAATAACTTGTGATTTCTTTGGACCACCTTGTCTATTCTCAAACATCTGCTGTTGGAGAAAGGGCCGCTGGCTGTTTTCTCTTTCTCCGCGTTTCTCTGAGAGGTGCTGGTGCAAATCCCAGACCGAATGGTGAGGTAGATGTACAGTGATTTTATTTGTTTTTTTCCCCCTTAAAGGAATGTTTCAGAACTTTTGAAGTGTGTTTTTGTGAGGAGTATGAAAAATTAATATCTTACCATTGAAGATAGAGAGATGCCTTCTGACAGGACAGAGTATGGAAGAAATACAGTCAGTATTGCTTTTGTTAGACATTGAATTTATGACATGGAATTTTTATTCAGTTAAATTATATCTTATGTGTTTAAAGGGACATTATGGAAGTTTGACAGCCAAAACATGTGTAGAAATAATAAATTTCTTCTTCATACATTCTCCTGCAATGCCCTAGTGGTGTGCATCTCTACCTGCCTCACGATTCGATCCGATTCCGATTAATCTGCCTAACGATTCAATTTGAGTCTGAAATGCATCACGATTCTTCACACAAAAATTTTCATTACTTAATAAAAGCAGTAGAATAGTTTTCAATTTCTTTTTGATTTCGAAATCCCTGAAAAACAGAACATTCATCTATTCACTATAGTGAGCAATAATGTTTAAAGTGTGCTGCCTATAATTACTTAAATAATATAAGAAATAATGTTTTCGGTAGAGCAGCTTTAAGATAGAATATTACTGAACTTAAAAATAGTAAACAAATACTGTCTTAAGTGATTCTTTCACATCCAGGATCCCAAAACCGAAATTAACCCAGACATCCGATTTAAATGTAACGGGTACATCTTTGATTACTGGTAATGTTGGCCCTGTATCCCTGTCCAATTGCTTCTAGGACAACGCAGTGCGCATGTCATTGCAACTCTGCCCCCAGAAGTAATTGTAAAACCTCAAAATGTTATTGTCCTCGCATTGACATAGACCAGGGGTCGGCAACCGGTTACCATCAAAGAGCCATTATTACCCGTTTCCCACAGTAAAGAAAACACTGCAGCAGCCGCGGCGTTGTGGGCAGGGCCTACCCTCAGACAGCAGCTGGTACCGGTCGCTCGTGTACGTCAAAGTTATCTTTCATAAGAAGATAATCAATAAAACGATTTATATAAAGTGGATCCAGAAGTTGTAGCCCGTCTCTGCCTACAATATTTAGATATTTTTCACCCTGTTGGTGGTTTTACTGAGCAGGTGCCACTTTTGTCATACGTTTCTTTTTAAAACATGTTTAGACTGTTCAGAATACAAATCCAGGCTCTGTCACGTTTGATGGTTGTAATTAAACTTTGTAGGTGGGGAAGGTCAGAAAAGGATCCGATCATTTTGTTTTTACCTCATTTACAGCGACGGAGATAACGGTGCAGTGCGCCTGGCTCTGGTGTTAATCAAGTTTAATTTGATCTATTTTCACAAGAAAACAAAACAGTTAAAAGCAGGGCTTGTGTTGTGTTGACCGGATAGTTCCCATTTTTGGCTATTTATTTTGACGGAGAAAGAATAGAAAGACCCCGACGCAAGCAGACGAACTGACACTTTATTCGTATCGCACATCGCAGATGTAGCTAAATCACTTGATTCCCATCTGAGCTGGACACGGAGCTCAGCGCAGCTCGCTGTCAGCGCGTACGTACGGCGCACAGTGAGCTGAAGATGTGGAGAGGGGCTTGGAGCACGTCGCAGAACCAGGGCGCATGCAGATTCCTCCGACTGAAGCGAGACTTGTCACTTAGAAAATGTTCCCTGATTATGAAACTTTGGCTGAATAGCACTTGTTCCTGTCTCCAATGTGGCGACACATCCAGGATCTGAGGAGAATCCCAGAATCTCACATCCTCGTCAGCTCAGAACACGCATATGATTACGCACAAGCGTGACCCGTCAACCTGGTCTCACAGTAAGACCGGGTTGGAACTGTTCAGGTTTACGCAGACAATCTTTACATTTAGAATTGGCTTACAGATGTAAAATTAATGTAGTAAAATATAAAGCATTTTATTTAAATATCCATTCATTATTTTACAAGCACAGAGAGCCGCATCAGATGGATGGAAGAGCCGCATGCGGCTCCAGAGCCGCGGTTGCCGACCCCCGACATAGACATAGGAAGAGAATCTCATTATGTCACGTTGCTGCATCGATGCGGAATCATGCACGGCTGAATCGCGATGCATCTTAGAATCGATCATTTTTCCCACCTCTACAATGCCCTGGTCCTGTAGAATGAGCCCTGGCATTTTTACTCTGATTGCCTGTTTTTCTGTAAAATCACAGAAAAAGAGAGATGCTCGGGTCGAGCAGGCTGCTTCATGCGCGTTCACGCTCAGGCATAGCCCGTAGCATTTGCTAAACTTTCTTCTAGATATTTCCTGCAAATAAGCAACAAAATAGCCTTTTTCGCTTCGAACCGTTCTTTGGTTTGACGTTGTTTCAGGTGTCATCAAGGATATAAAAGTTACATATACTGTGAATTTTACTGGTGTGTAGCTCATTTTGTAAGACATCTGACTCTCATGCAGAAGACCTGGGTTTGATTCTGGATGTGAACATAGTTCATTTAGAGTTTCTTTTTAACATTAATGGTATATTTTTTTACAGTAAGACACCCAAATTTGTAATTGAGACTCGCCGAACGGCATTGAATTCACAGATAAAAAAGATGTGGGTTCAACTTTCATTTTGGAACAATTTTTCAAGCAAGGGAAGGGAATGATCTGAGCATGCAGGAGGACTGACCCATCATAAACCTTTGTCGGCTGTGCTGAAGAGAAAGGTACAGAACCAAATTATGTAATTAATTACCTGCGCCTTCTCCTGTCCTCTGTCCTCCGGGCCACACACACACACACACACACACACACACACACACACACACACACACACACACACACACACACACACACGGGTCTGACAGTCTCAGCTTTTATTTTCGTTAAGGAGTGTGCACGTGCAGCATGCTCGCCTCGTGCACGAGCCTACTATTGAAGCTGCCGTTACGCTTTTGGCCTGAGGGGGCAATCGCGAGCATAAAAATTCAAAAGTCCGTAAAGTCCCTTTAACTTAAGATACACCAGCAAAAAATTAATCCATGAAAATACAACTGCAGAAATTCATCTTCAAAAGTTCTACATCAGAAATTCAGCAGCAAAAACTTAACATTAACTGAGGCGACCTCCTTGTGACCCAAACCAAAGAATTTGTCTCGCAGTTGAGTCGAGTGACTTTTAGCCAATCAAATTATGCCTCTCTGATAATTTGAGAACAGTCAGGTGTCGACTCGACCGAGTGACGATTGAATCGGCTTGGGTCACCGGTAGGTCACCTCATTTGACGATGAATTCTTGCTGTTGAATTTCCAAAGTTGAATTTTACAGATGAATTTTTGCTTGTGTGTTTTACATACTGTATTTTCACTAAATAAAAATTCAATGTCATAAATTCAGTGTCTATAAAACGTCATATTTTCGTGAGACAGTTTTTCTCCCACAGGTGAGCGTCTGAGTTCATGTTTCAAGTCTAATCGTAAGTGTATGCATGGTGTTTTACGTTCGGGTGACCGGATGTCCGGCTTTGTGTATTTTCATAACTTTTCTCACATCCCGCAAATTGAAACTGATGTCCCGCATTATTGACCGTCTCCTGTTTCGAGTTTCAGTCTCACATAAACAGCTGCTGTCACTCAAACTAGGAGGTGGGACTTTACCGCAGGACCAGAGCGTGTGAAAAAACAAGTGAACCTGTTTTTTAATGAGTTGTAAATAAATTTTGTTCCCATTTTACGCACTTTCAAACATCGGAAATGTCACATTAAATTAAAAACACCCATGAGAACCCTGATGTAAACTGCTGCCACAATGTCATTTCATTTTATTATTGTAATATATAGTTATATATAGTTTTAAAATAAACAAAATTAAAAGAAAAAAAAAAGAAGATTAATGGGTTAATTATGAAATTTCTAAAGAAGTCTGCTCTTTATTAGTTTTGGTGAAACGGTCTTTGTTTTACATATTTGTTAAATTGGCATCAAGGAAAAGATGACTCAGCTGAGCAGCTCGCTGCCCAACAATGGCAAACTCAAACTTGTCCGCTTGTGTTTAGATCCGTGCCGGTGGATTCGAGTACTCGCCTGGGACCCTTCATGTCTACTCGGACAGCCTGTTAACTCTACCTGCCATCATCGGCATCGGAGGCGGAGGTGGCCTACTCCTGTTGGTCATCATTGCCGTGCTGATAGCTTACAAAAGGAAGTCCAGGGATGCAGATCGGACCCTGAAACGCCTGCAGCTGCAAATGGACAACCTGGAGTCAAGAGTGGCCCTGGAGTGCAAAGAAGGTAGGAACAGAAAATGCAATAAAAGACTTTAATATGCATTTTATAGAAAAGATCAAATATTTATTTCTATATTTAGAGGTGAAATAGTTATTCTGTCTGAAGTAAAGCCTGACTCATGCTTCTGCGTCTGCGTCAGTGCGGAGACATGCAATGCTATTATCCGTCCTTGCGGGCCTGCTGGAGAGCTCCGCAAGGACGGACAGAGTCGAGCTCTCTTTTCTAAACATCCGCCAGCCGAGACGGACAACGCAAGCTTCTGATTGGTCAGGACGCCGCTATCGTATACACCGCCGCGATTGCGACCTCAAAAACATAGAGAGAGCTGAGGATAACTAGCGGCAGACACGGAGCAGCTTGAAGAATACCTCGCGAAAAAACTCTAAAAACATGAACGTTTAATTCCCCGTGACTGGAGGAGTGAAAAGATACGCAGCAAGCGTTTTATTTGTGGACGGAAATGACAGGAAACGTGGGTTTAGAGGTGACGAGCGCATGAAGAGGTAGAGGAGGATGAGTGTTAAAAAGTCTCTTATATACAAAAAAAACCCACAATATGAACACACCATCTTGGACCGGATACATGACAGGATACCACAGAACAGTGTTATGCCCTCTGCTGTCCTGGTGGGGAATTGCTTTGTAACACTCCCCAGGAGACGGAGAAGTATGAGGACAAAACATATCCGTCCATGTGTGCGCGTCTCTCCCTGTTGGAGCTGACGTAGAAGCATGAATCAGGCTTAAGGGTCAAAAATGTGCATGAAACTCAGTATTTCACAGAAATGAAACCCACAGAGCAGTTCAGACTGCATACCATCCACCAAAACTAATGTCCTGACTCAAATGGGAATGAAAGAACACGCGAATTTGTTCACATTTCCCACACACAGCCCCTGCACCTTCTTCCTTTGGTGCCCACACACTTGCTGACCATGTTGGTTTGAATCCACTCGCAGTGACACTGATTTCATTGTGTGAGCTTTCTACTTTCTGTAACAACGTTTGATAGAAAAGGGGGGTGGATGTTACATAATGGGAATGTGAAGGCTGTACACTGGTCAAGGATATTTCTGTAGACACGACTTTTAAAGGGTTGTTCTAGCTGAAAGAACACCGTGTAGACAGGAATTATATATATGTGAGCAGGTATAAATGTGAATAAATCCACAGAGAAAGACAGAGAGATGCTGTTAGATTATGTTGTTCCGGACATCTGTCCGTAGGGTATGTTGGACAGGGCAAAAGCCCGACTGTCCAAGCTGATGATTGGTGAGTAAAAGACACATTTTGTGAAGGATCACAGATGTCAGAATCAGAATCAGAAAAACTTTATTTATCCCAGAGGGGCAATTAAAATGTGTAAATAAGAACAACGCATAACTACTTCATCTAGGGATGGAAATGATATGGCGGCTTTCTAGATGGTTTCACAAACAAGTGAATCTGCGATTACTCACTTATAGCTCATAACGTCCAACCGAAATGTAGAAATCGAAGCCAAAACAATCGATTTTCACCCGAGTGGCTGATTTATAGCTGCAACACCAAATCTACAAAACAAGTTAGCTTAAAATGCGAACACAATCACAGAATGCTCCCCCTTTACGTCGGGTATCATCCTTGGGCCAAGTCCGTCAGAACCAGCAGTGCCAGAGGAAACAAGAGAGCCGTAAACACCAGCCACCGGTTTCTAGGTCCAAACGTCGCTTGTTGTCCGTGACTTCAAATGGTGTTTTTCTTTTTATCCTAACATGGAAGTGGTAGCAGCTGGCTGTTTCTCCTTCTCTCATGTTATTGAACGGAAAGCCTCTCACACCAGTGGTGTTCTGTTGCTGAATGAGCAAACACGAAAGGAGAGGAAGACCTGGGTAAGTGTGGTGATCCGGTGAGAAAAAGCCGGATGGTCTAATAGCTGCTTTCACATGTTAGACGTGGAGGTTTTTAGACAAATGTGACAGAGCCACTTTATTAACTGTTTTTAATCTCCACAATATATTTCTAGCTATACTATATTAACAAAACATTAAGAGGCATGAAAACAACATTTCCAGAGTTGCTGGTTTTGCTTTAATGAAGAGGTTAACATCTGTTTTGATGATGGCGGCACCTGTTAACCCTCCCACTGTCTTCTTGGGTGACCCCGCAAAGAAAGTTGACCATTGAGCATGATTGATGGTTTATCCCTTGAGGTCCACGTGGCAGTGGCAGGGGTGAAGAGTGAGCACCACCTCACCCCTGCCACATGGACCTCAAGGGATAAACCATCAAACCTGCTCAATGGTCAACTTTCTTTGCGGGGTCACTCGTGAAGGCAGTGGGAGGGTTAAAGAGGTCAAACCCCCCTTTCAGCTGTCTTACTGAATGCTAAAGCTAATTATTATATTTGACAGAGGGTGTATGTGGTTAAAGTGGAGGAGGAACTGTTTACAGAGCAGGAGTTACAAAGGAGTGTAACAGTGGCCTTTTAGCAGTAGAGTGTGGATGACTGATAAGAGTGCAGACCAGGTGTTTACACTCAAGATAATGGCACAAGCTTCACAAAGCGGTGGTACAAAGTTATACGGCAAGCTCAACGGCCCTGCCAGAGCCACAACTCTAACAGCAGGAAAACCTGTCAAACAACAACGGCCGCACTTTTTGATTTAAAGTGCTGTGTTTTTGAGCAGCTTTTACGTACACACCCTGACTGAGGTGATATTTACCAAACTGTGTTCTATCCATCTTGTATTCCCACAGTCCAAGATGCTGTTGGCCATGATTTTTAAATAAAAACGCAGCCAGAGAAGTCCTATGCAATGAGAAAATGCTGTAAAACCAGTCAACAGAAGGGAAGCACCTAGTTTGTGCAGGATGTGAAGCACGGCCTTGTAACCACCCTTCCCGCCCTAACTGCTGCATGCCCATCTGGCTTACATTGACGAAGTAGTGAATGTGGGTGGAGTGGCAGCTGAAGTGGGCGGTCCACTAATGCATGCGAAAGCAATGGGTGCTTCCCTTGTTTGTGTGTGTATGTGTGTGTGTTTGGCTGCGTTGTAAAAGTCTTTAGGAAGGGCAATGTTTGGTTCAGTGGCCCGTGAAAAGCAGACATCAAATTAAACACTGTCATCCATCTATGTGTAATCACCTGCAGAGCAACTTAGACTTTGCTAAACTAAAGTTTAGTTTCAAGTTTCAATCAGGGATTCACTGAGAAAGGTGCAATATTTGTTCTTTTGAAATTCCATTGCTCACTCTTAAGCTTAATACGTCTCAGGCAACTCAGTAAAGCTGGGCGGACACTGTGCAACTTTTTCACTCGTAGCACTCAGCTTCAGCTCAAACTGTACGACTTCCTCGCAGGGCAGATCGCACGACTCATGCGCTCACACTGTATGACCCAGTTCTCGGATGCGACCTGACTGCTCACACTGTACGTCTGGTAGCAACACGTTGGACCTAAAAATATGCTAAAATTAGCAGTTTTTACACAACACGTCAGACTTTTTTATCTTGCCTGTTGTCCTTCGGGAGTGCTGCAGAGGGACACACAGGGATTTATGGGGGTTGGATGAGGAAAACAAAATAAAGAAAGTAAATCTGTGTTTTGTGATCAGTTTAATTTGACATACACACGACAAACACGCTTTCTTGACAATCTTTGTGAGTAAAAAATACGTGTAGAAATAAAAACGAACAATGTGTGTTATTAGGGAAATAGCGGGCGAGCGGTGTTGATGCAGGATTGCGCATGCGCCGTGTGGATTCTCGCACAAGTGGAAAATCGGCTCAAAAAAGTGAAAAAGTCGCACAGTGTACGGCTTTACGGAGTCGCACGCGTCGGTGGAAACCGTTTTCCCTTCGAGATTCTCCGTCACCTGGGGAGTGTTGCAAAGTAATTCCTCACCAGGACAACAGGGGGCGTAGCACTTTTCTAGGGATTTCCTGCCGCAACTGCAGTCACATCTCCGGTCCACAATAGTGGGTTTATTATTGCTTTGGTGTATTCCAGAGACTTTTTAACACAAACATATGTTACTCATTCTCCTCCACTTCTTTATGCAGTCGCCCACATTTCCCATAATGTCCGTCCACGAATAAAAAGCTCTTCTGCATATCTTTGTACTCCTTCAGTCACGGGTGAATAAACAGTTATATCGTCAGACTTTTTTCGCGAGACGTTCTCGCAGGCCAGATGTTTCTTTAGAAAGGGAGTCGTGGTAATGTGGGCAAATTTAAAGCAAGCAACGTCCTGACCAATCACAAGCTTGCACTCTCCATCACTTTTGAATGACAGTTTAAAACCAGGAATGTCTCCTTCACCCTCTGCGAGCCTGCCACAGAGGCCTTAATGGCGTAGCATGTTTTCAGGCCCACACAGATGCAGATGTAGAAATCAGGCTTAGGTTTAACATGCAGGCTGAACGTGAAGATATTCTTCTACCCTTATTCCCTGCACTGAGAGACAATAGATGGGGAAGCTACACAGACCTACGTCACACTTTAACTTTATGGACCACCTTGTTTTGGCGTGAGAAGGGTGTGTTTAGCAGTCAGGGGAGATCAGAGCTAGCAGAAGCTAACCATTAGTATAGCGTTCAGACGTAATTTGTAGAGATATCAAAAAGAAGACCGAAAGGAAGCAGTGAAAGAGCTGTGTTGCTGTTAACCAATCACAGGCAGGATCTTTGCATATCATGAATATTTACAGGCCTCAAAATCCTGCTTTTTTGTCCTCCACTCCTCTGAAAAACTTCTACTTCCTGCAGAAGAACAAGGACATGTTTTCATAGGAAATGACTCGCAAGGTATTCATTCATACTGGAGACAACAGCAGAATTATACAAATAACAGTCTTCTCTGCTCTTTGATGTGATATTGCATGATTATTAAAACATTTCAAATGAACCCTTTAGAAACATCCACGTGTTTACATGCTAATTTATGCACAATCTGAGCTGTGGAGGTGTTGCACTTCACCTTCAAGCCTTTAGGAGATTTTACCAGTTACCAGTGTCATCAGACATTTCCCACAAAGAAATGCAAATCCCTGAGTTCACAACAGCTAGCGTGAGCGCTCTCATCAGCTACATTTAAAATTAAAATTAGATTAACACAACTGCCTGTGACAAAAGTTTGGGCAAGACTTCTACTTAAACACTAAATACGTTTGGTGTGACAGCTTGCCTCTGAGTAGTCTCTTTTTCTTTTGTTTACTTTCATTTAATTGACACACAAAAGCTGCAAACAACTACAAAGTTATTTTCTTGGCTAATTTTATTTGGGTATTAACGCCGATCAGAAAAGGCCTGAATATTTTTGTGACAGGGTCCACATTTCCTTGCCCGAATGTTCTAATGAGTTTGGTGTCCAAGAACTGTAAATGAGCTGTGGGAGAGGTTCAGGACAGAATCCCAAACAAACTGAGACATGATTCAGACACTTTGTGACAAAATTATGACAAGACATTTAATTTGGACGATTGTGGCCATGTTTTAGCTATCAGACACCCCTCGTGACTCAGCCAGGTGTTACACCTGTACTAAACGTGCGTATCAAATCGGTGGGAACTGAAGTATTGCATCTCCAGTTGCTAGTTGCACACAGTTTGAGCCCACTTAGACACTGGGTTAAATCTTTTGGTCAGGCCTCTAAATAATGATCATAAGTATTTAAGAGTGAACTTGCTTCAGCCTCTATGTCGCCTATTGTTTAAAGCCCAAGCCACACTGCGTTTTTCGGCCATCCTAGACAACGTGACGTGGCGTGTCCAGCTACAGCGATTCGTCGGGCAGTTTGGCTCACTGACACCTTGGACCTTTCAGGGTGTGATCTTTCTGGGGTTTTCAGTGCGTCAAGAGCCATCTGGGCTGTCTTTTAAATTTCCTTTCTTTTTGCTGTGCTTACATTCAGTCGTTTATCTGGCTTCCTTCTCCTTTCTGCTTATTTATCTTCTTTTTCTCATCGTTTTCACTTCCTGTCATTTCGCACCTCTCTTGTGGACCAAACAAATCCAATAACAGCTGGGGGAAATTATGCATGAAAACTTGTCCATTGCTCTCTTAATAATTATCCACTCATGCAATTAATTGACTTTCGTTTCCATAAACGTTGTTTTTTTCTCTATGCTGATTCTGTCTCTGAACCAGAATATCTTATTACCTTTATTGTTTTTCTTTGCGCTGAATATTAATTCATGATGAATCAAGTATACAACTTCTCTGAACATAACACCAGTGGAATTCTTATAGAGATAATGGAGAGGTGAGACTTTGGTCAGAAGATAATAAAAATGATAGCAATGTCTGATATTATTGGCATAAAATTTGGTAATAGTGGCACATCAGTATCAGTTTTAACTTTTTTAATGACACAACTTTTACTTAATATGCACATATTATACATCTAACCCTTCAGCTACTTGTCATCTCTCTAAATGTCAAAATATAACAGATCATGTGTCTAAATCAGGGGTGTCCACGTCAAATCCACACTGGGCCGAAATGAAACTCTGGGACGAAGTTGCCAGCCAAACTTAATATTTTTTGTGACGGCAAATTTGCACATTTTCTTTATCGACATATATGCAATTTTGAACCTTTTAATTTGGAAGCAAACTTATTTTTGCATTAACACTGAATGTGGAATAACCAAATTACACACAAGCAAGTCAATTTTAAATAAAACACATCAGTGGTATTCATTACTTGTGGTATATTCAGCATTTTTAAAATCTATTCAGGATTTATGTTTTCTTGTTTATTCATTTTTCTTAATTCTTATTCTTTTTTTTCTCCTGTAATAGGCGTCATCGCTGCTGTGACGTCTAGCTTTCCCCACTGAGGAACAATAAAGGGATTTTCTATTCTATTCATCTATCTATAGCCTTTCCACTTCCTGTTTTACTGTAGGTTAAATCTATTCTCATGGATCAACAACAAAATAAAATATCATTTTATCTTAAATGAAAATGCAATATCTCACCTGTTAACTTTCATGTTTTGGAGCAGAAAAAGAGCATAAAGCCTAAATATTTAAAGCTCAGTTTGCTCCACTGGTTTACTGTGATGCTCACCTGTTCCAGCCAGATACCTGCATCATGGGGTTGATCTGAGCTGAGGAGGAGACTCCTGTTGTTTTGTTCATCTTCATCATAATAATGACAACATTAGATGACAACAGGTGCTCACATAGGTTTGTGCTGCTGAACATGTCAGAGCAGCTTGACCACGTTGTTGTGTGTCGGGGAGGAAAAATAACAACTACAGCAGCCACAGATGCTGATTTGAGCATGTCGCTGCTCGCTGGAGTTATATCATCTCTGTCTGGAAGTTAGTTGGAAAACTTTCTCTTTCAGTCGTGAACACATTACTGAGCAGTTAAAATCTCCGTTTCAGGGCTTCAACGTCGGCCAATAGCTGAGTAAACTCGAAGCTGAGTGAGAGGAGTGTTTAGTTTGTCCAAGACAGCGAGCTGCAGACACCGGCAGCAGACGCTGGAAAAAACACAAAAGAGGGGGTGCTTCGGCTCCGTGCTAACGCCGCAAAGCATCATGGGAGTTGAAATCTTTGCGGTAAAATCGGCCAGCGGGCCAGTTTTAATATATTTTTGATATTTATTTTGCGGGCCACAAAAAAATTCTCCGCAGGCCACATGTGGCCCGCGGGCCTTGTGTCTGACACGTGTTCTAAATTTTGAGATAATGTCAGCCTAACCTAAATTTGAGTAATTATATTTTTTACACATAAGTACAAGTAAAAGTTTAAGTATGTATTATAGGAAATGTGAGATGCTAGTTACCTAACATGATTTATGTTTTCTTTAAACAAAAAGTAAAATAAGTGTTAGACGATATTGGTTTAAAAAAAGCAACTACCCTAAGGCACCAATGACCGGTGCCTTAGATTAAAAGGATTATTAAAACTGATTGTCTCTTTTCCCCCATTCAGCCTTTGCAGAGCTTCAGACGGACATCCACGAGCTGACCCAGGAGTTGGACGGAGCTGGAATTCCCTTCCTGGATTATCGTACATACGCAATGAGAGTCTTATTCCCTGGCATCGAAGATCACCCTGTACTCAAGGAGATGGAGGTACGGGTCAGTACACCATCAACCAAACTTCAAACTAAAACAAACTAACAGTTAATAAAGAAGCAGTGCAAAATGTTACTTACAAACTAACCCAAAAGGAAGAATTATCAGTAATTTCCTGTTTTTTTTTCCTTCAGTTGTTGTTCATAGTATTAAAATGTCCCTCTGGCTTTATTGCTTAATAATTCCTTGGCAGTTATCCCATGATGGGCTTCATCAAAGGCATCAAAAAGGCTGAGATTTGAGAAAGGAGGTGCTAAAGATGGCTTTTTCCTTTAAGCAATCAAATAACCTATATTCTACCTACTTTCATGCATTTGTCCTCCATTCAAATAACTTTCAAAGAGCTTCTGTTTCATTGTTGGTTTAATATCATATGAATACAAATAAAACATTTAGGCTCAGAAAATTTAAATGCATGGTTACCTGGGATCAAGTGTTCTTATCTGAAGACGTAAGATAAATAAGTCGTCACACTCGTCTGGGTCACACCCACCTCCCAAGCTCAGCTACACAGAAATATTGAGCCGGATTTGTGATGACATTTCACCACCACAGAGCCAGTCATAGAATTAAGACTATGTCTACAAAATCTCTCCTCCTAGACTTCACCACAGATGCAAGTTTGTAATCTGCAGTATCAATAAAATGTAGGATCCAGTGCTGCTTCATTGACTTTGATTGGAGCGCTGACTTTTGGGAGTAAAGGAATAATTTGTTTGACCTTTTACATCTTATTTTAATCACTTTCATCCAAAAAGTGCATTCATATCTTCAGAATTAAGTCCCTCTTGGTGGTTTCAGAGTTGTCGCTTCTTTGTGCTTCTTTGAGAGTTCCTGTATGAATGAAAAAGTCAAACCCAGGATAATTAAGACTTTTTAAAGAAATCAAAAGGATTAAAGGAGGGTTTAGTAAATAGAATTCAGCAGAGAAAATCAGGTTGGAGGAAAGTAGAGGGGTAAAGTTAGCGTAGAACAACACGTGTATCCCTTTAAACCAGGAAGACGCCTACAAAATGTTATACTGAGTCAAGTGTGTGTTAGTGTCGCATGCCCGTCCCATTTACCGGTTCCTTTAAAACCCAGTTCCGTTTGAACTTATGAGACGGTGCATCCATCAGGGTTCGGGGGGATGTCGGCGAGTATTATAGTACTAGATCCTGGATTGGACCATCTAATTAGAATCTTGTCTTTTATTTTAAAGGTGAAATGACTTGCACGAATAGCCAGCCCCAGAGTACTACACTTCTTTTAAACTCGTTACCTTTTGGTTAAGATACTAGAGAGAAGTCTGGAGGCAAGCCAAGCCTCTCAGCAATTGTTTGGATTACCCGGAATTAATTGCGCCTCTAACAGCTTATGTGGGAGGTTGGTAACTATAAAATGATTTATGCTAGTTGATCAGGCTATCATAAGTTTATCAATTTATTTATTAATCCAACCTTCCAGCTGATTAGAGACTTTTTCAACCTGCAATCAGAGCCAAAATAACCTCGAATATTTTGCTTTTATCGCCCTTAAGACAACTCGTTACTCGCAAGGAGGGGGAAGTTAAAACTTCCCTTATCTTAAGGTTTCTTTATATTATTCTATTATAAACCGTAAAGTAAGTCCCGATAATTCAGAGACTGATCTTCGACATGCTTACCTCTGTGCAATTATGGCCAGGGCCCCAAACGTGAAGCTTTAGAGAAAACCTGAAAGAATCAGGATTATGTTTCTTTTTCAAAAAAGGTTTATTACAAAATCAAAATACAAAAAATGGGTAAAGTGAAAAACAACTGCTATCCCCCACGGAGGAATTAGTTCAAAATGATTAAATAAGAGTTAGTTTACACTAGCTCTTGTCTTCTCAGAATCTCCCCAAGAACTCCCTCTCTCTCTTTCTCTCCTAAGAGTCTCTTCTGTCATCCCCCATCCAGGCTTGGACGGGGGATGACCCCTCCAAATCTGCTCTGTCTCTTCTTGTCCTCTGCCCCAGCTGCTGTCCGCTCTCCCAATCCCTCTCTGCTGTTAAGAGCTGTTCTTATATACCCTTCCTGGACCAGCTTACGGTCAAGGGGTCATTTACCAGATACACACTTTGTAGCTCAACACAAAACATTTGGTGTCATTTTCACTACATGCAGCATTCTTCTTAACACAGGTCATTACATCATCTTTTGCAGCATTCTTCAGTTTCTCTCCAATGTTCCCGAGAAGGCTTCTGGATCTGATGGGCTTGTCTTCACTCTGTTCTCCTCCAATCCCATCTTTCCAAGCCAGGGGTGGGGCAAAGAGGTGGGGTCAGTCTCCTGACCCTTCGCCCAGTTCTGTCCTCTTGTCCCTGTGACCCTTGAGTGACCCTTGTTTCTGACCACAGTTTTTTTGACCTGCAGCCCAGCTCCTGTCGACTGGCTGATTTTGCTCGCACAAGCCAGTCCAGTATGGCTCACCTTTTGACCCCGTACTTGCCACTGTCTTTGGCATGTGGGACTCGCAACATCCCCCATGCGAGAAAAATCTAGCCAGGGGACTGCAACAGCCTTCTTTGGGGTGGGGCTGCCTCCTCCTCTGGATCATCTTCATCTCCAGTCTCAGACCCAGAGTCTGACTAGCTCAGAGTCCAGATACACACCATCATCATCATCATCACTCACTTCATTCTCTGAAGAACCAGATGTTTGTTCATGAGGGTTCAGATCTGGGTTCCTGCTTCTCCACCAGTTTCTACTGCCATCTGGTCAGCTGAGCTGCTGGTTGGAACATCTCAGTCTCCACCTTCAAGCAGAGACTCTCTCCCTCCAGACTGGAGACATTTTTTACTGCAGAGCTTCAAATATTCTCCTCACACACCTGAACAGCAACAAGCTAACTCTGCTTGCAGCTGCTGGTGGGAAGCTTACGCTAAAAATTATAAAGTGTGGCAAGGTGGATAAATAAGGACCGGGTGGGATTCGATCCCGAGACCTTCGGGGTGGGAGTCATACGCTCTAACCACTCAGCCAAAGGGACATCCCCTTGGCCAAATGGCCAGAGCGCATTATCAATCAAGACATAGTGACAGGACGCTCACACTGTCACACCTTCCCCCCTCTTTCCACAAGCGCGTCCTCGTACTTCCGCGCAGGGTGCCACAAACTTCACATCCACGGACCTACTTGACAGTACTACATGGATCCTGCCAACAACACCATATGTGGCAAGGTTAAAAATGCTTACGCCTTATTAGTGTAGCTGTCTGTCAGGTCAGAATCATACGGAGCTGTTAGTTCAGGACTCTCCCTTCTCAACAGAACTAGTAGGGGGAGGGGTGATGTCACCACATCCTGCTTGTCTGTTGTTGCTCAGCTGACTGGGTGCTTTTTCTCTGTTCAGCTGTGGCTTCTCATATCTGCAGGCTGCCGAGAGCGGAAGCTAGTTGCTTGTTTCAAGCAGATCCTCTAAAAACAAAGTTTAATTGGAGCAGAGTTCCAATGCTCCCAGTTATAAGTCCGTCCTTTACAGGCGGCACGGTTTCTCCCCTCACGGAGCCCTTAAGCACAGAGGTTCACACATTATACATGTTCCCGGCTTCTAGCCTCCCCATTGCGCGTAACGATACACATTTGCAGATTCTATGAAGCCCGGAAACATAGCCACTTTACAATCTTTAACACAATCCCCCTTCGTTAGCAAAATTAGGCCCGTAGCACCTGGGATCTTACAAGTCATTTCTTCACTAGATTTTGATCCAGCCATGACGTTTAATCGCATCTCACTTGTGCCTCAGCACCCGGACAGCGCCCCGCCGCAGCTCCATACTAGCTTTTCCAGCCTCATTCTGAAAGCTCCGGTTACAGGATATCGAAAGATCTATCTGCCATGGCTGGTTAAAAGTTTTTCTTATTTTTATTTATTTTATTTTTATTCGTTTTCACGTTTTATTTTTTATTCTTATTCTTTATTTATTTTTATTTTTTGCCTAGCTTTTATCCTTGGCTTTTCTTGCGTCGGAATGCCGTATTTTCTTTATACCTTTTTAAGTTGATCGTCCGTTCTCCCAGATTTCTTTCCTTTTCGAGAAACTGGTGCGGTTTTCACTCCAAGGTTATAAGCTTAATAGGTCCTTAGCGCGCAAGCTTTTATCAGCCTAAAAGACAGTTCTACATCGGATAGCCCGGTATCTAATATTTAGACCTTCACTCCGTAGCCCCACGTTGGGCGCCATGTCGCGTGCCCGTCCCATTTACCGGTTCCTTTAAAACCCAGTTCCGTTAGAACTTATGAGACGGTGCATCCATCAGGGTTCGGGGGGATGTCGGCGAGTATTATAGTACTAGATCCTGGATTGGACCATCTAATTAGAATCTTGTCTTTTATTTTAAAGGTGAAATGACTTGCACGAATAGCCAGCCCCAGAGTACTACACTTCTTTTAAACTCGTTACCTTTTGGTTAAGATACTAGAGAGAAGTCTGGAGGCAAGCCAAGCCTCTCAGCAATTGTTTGGGTTACCCGGAATTAATTGCGCCTCTAACAGCTTATGTGGGAGGTTGGTAACTATAAAATGATTTATGCTAGTTGATCAGGCTATCATAAGTTTATCAATTTATTTACTAATCCAACCTTCCAGCTGATTAGAGACTTTTTCAACCTGCAATCAGAGCCAAAATAACCTCGAATATTTTGCTTTTATCGCCCTTAAGACAACTCGTTACTCGCAAGGAGGGGGAAGTTAAAACTTCCCTTATCTTAAGGTTTCTTTATATTATTCTATTATAAACCGTAAAGTAAGTCCTGATAATTCAGAGACCGATCTTCGACATGCTTACCTCTGTGCAATTATGGCCAGGGCCCCAAATGTGAAGCTTTAGAGAAAACCTGAAAGAATCAGGATTATGTTTCTTTTTCAAAAAATGTTTATTACAAAATCAAAATACAAAAAATGGGTAAAGTGAAAAACAACTGCTATCCCCCACGGAGGAATTAGTTCAAAATGATTAAATAAGAGTTAGTTTACACTAGCTCTTGTCTTCTCAGAATCTC